CTTGGTCGTAGGTGATTCTTACAATTCGTGCATGATCCGTACATGAATCTTGAAATTCGTACATGTTTCGCAACCCATTTCTGGCATTCTTCATATTTTAGATTAGATTAGAAACGAAAGTTTGCATTATTGGCCGAATCATCACGAATTTCGAAAGTTTCCGATTCGGGGTGATTCGGGATATTCGTGGTCGTAGTGAAAGGGAAGGGGGGCATCATGGGCACCCCTCCTTTTTCTATTTCGAAAAAAAATCTTTATTTCTGTATAAATAACCACCAAAGACAATAAATAGATCTTAATTGTGCAACCCCCCCCCCCCCCCCTTTTCAAAAAAGCTGTATCCGCCCATGGACTTCCATTCCAGACTATGCTTTTTGAATAAGTCATACAGTCTGTAACAGTTGTTTTGTGTTGAGCTTTAGAAGTTGCAGGGTTAGAAAACATATTCCGCTGACAATGTAACATATCAATATGAATATTTCATATGTATTTTTTTTGTATTACGTCTTTGTAGCGTTATCTATAGTGAAGTTGTCCGATTTTCGATCACGATCGTTGATACTACTTAATTTCGTTTATTCTACATACTCGTTAATCCGACATACTCATATGCAACCAACCATGTCGGATTAACGGGACTTGACTGTATATGGTTAAACCCAGCGTCAGTAAATTCTATAGATCTAGTATACTGAAACTGTGTGTGACCATATATATTGTAGCGGCATAATTTTAGTTACGTGTTTGTATCGTTATTAATTTCGTTTATTCGACATACTCGTTAATCCGACATAATCATATGCAACCAACCATGTCGGATTAACGGGACTTGACTGTAGCTAAAAACAATTCCCTAGAAACTTCCATGAGAGCAGAGCAGTATTTGCTCCCTCCCTCACTCACTCACTCACCCCCTCACTCACTCACTCACTCACTTACTCACTCACTCACTCACTCACTCACTCACTCACTCACTCACTCACTCACTCACTTCTGTACACCGGAGGTATGTCTTTTGCGAACATCTGGTGTCGAGTCTGATGTTAGTGATCCAACCATATAATTCTCTATTTTGCCTCTTACGCCCAAGACAATGAATATATTTTAAGCGTTAATGTTATATATTTGTTGACGTCATCTCCGGGAATATTAATAATTCTGACAATTGCTCGTTGCTTGGAATATATTTCTTGCGACATTTTAAATGATAAAATATGTCCATACTGATACAGAAACACACAAGATGTCTAGAGTGAATTATTCAATAACGCCAACACTCAGCTATTCCTCACAATGGAATCGAGATGAGCACAAGAGACATCCCAACACGATCAATATAGAATTCTATACACTGTTTAACAGCCGTGATGAAGCGGCATAACATATAAACAATTCACAAGCGCTATGAATCATGTTAGTCTTACGAATATCATATATCATTCCACAAGCCATACGTCAACGTTAAGTATGCTTACGATTTACCGTTATACAACAGGATCGTGAAGAGCAAACTCATAAACGGGAACCTTCAATGCCGTGAAGACCGCCTCCGTGGTCTAGTGGTAGAGCGTCCCCCTGCAGAGCGGAAGGTCCGGGGTTCGATCCCCGGCCGCGTCATACCAAAAGACATTAAAAGGTGGTAATTGTCGTGAACTGTCTGGCGCTCAGCATAAAGGGGCTAAAACAAGGACTGGTCGGCTCGGAGTCAGTATACTGTGTCTGAGTGGGGTATTTAGTCTGTCTTACAGACCCTGATACAAATATATCTCAAATACAGCCCATGCAAGTCTATAATGTTTGGCAAGTCTAGATTACTGCAGTATCATGAAAATGAAGAGAGTCACTGGGCTCCCTTTTATTATATTTTTATTAAGATAACTGAACAACTGTTTTTTTCTGTACGATATGTTCATTTCAGAGACTAGATGTTAGTCTATTGGGTATTCACTGCGGTGTAAACTGCGGCAGCAGTACAGACTAGTACAAGCAGCCACACACACACACGTGCATGCACGTCGCTTTTTAAGTGCAATAATCTTGGACGCGACGTTAAACCCAATTTCACCTCACATCAAAGCCGTGACTATCGACAAAATAACCCAGCTATAGATAAGCGGTTTGGTGATATTAATCAGACCATATAATGCACAGTGGCGGATACGCGTGCGTGCGTGCGTGCATGTGATAACCCCCCCCCCCCCCCCCCCCCCCCCTTTTTTCACATCTGAAGCGCATTGCCTACTATGTTAAGATGTTCATTTGGCTGTCAAAGGAAATTAATCAGGAGATAAACATACTGTGTTTTCAATGTAGAGCTAGGTTACCTGTAGATTTAACTGCGCTAAATTGAATTTGGAACCGAACGTGCACCATGAGGTTTCAAATGTTAAATGTATCAGAGGGGGTTTATTGTGATTTAATAGCTTCTGACTGACCAATCAGAAACGAGTAATTTCCAAATTCGTGGTAGAATAATGGGTTACATTTAGTCTTTGTGATTTTTTGGGTAGGCTTTTTGATGGACTGCGCTCTCACTGAAGTTACAAATGGCCCAAGTGGACCCCCTTCCCCCCTTTTTTCAAAAAGAATCCTGGATCCCTCCATGGTGCCGATAAAGATAAAGTTAAAGGTGGTCATCGAGTGCTCATTCCAACCGCTGCTTAATCTTTAAACGAGGATTACGTAACCGTGATATTTTTATCATTACTATGTTTTTCTTCACGTGCGGTAGTTTTACACAGGTGTCATGTGCAGCAAAGGAATCCGTTGTGACGTTTTTAGTCCACGCGTTACTTCAGGTGTTCCATGCTTTGAGTATCGCTTAATAAAATGGCTAAACTCCTCCTTTTTAAGCATTCTGATTATGTTGATGCTTACTACTCAAAAGAAGTTAAAGAATTCTTTTATATTACTATTGTTAATCTGTCTTAAGACACTGCAGCGTCTTGTTATACCTCGGTTGATGTTGATACTATTTATGACACTAGTGCTGTCAATGATACATGTTATACTACGGGCGTTGATGATACTATATATGACACTAGTGCTGTCAATGATACTATATGTTATATTGCGGTTGTTGATGATACTATATATGACACTAGTGCTGTCGATGATACTGTTTATAACACTAGTGCTGTCAGTGATACTATATATGACACTAGTGTTGCCGGTGATACTATATATGACACTAGTGTTGTCGGTGATACTATATATGACACTAGTGCTGTCGGTGATACTATATGTTATACTACGGTTGTTGATGATACTATATATGACACTAATGCTGTCAGTGATACTATATATGACACTAGTGCTGTCAATGATACTATATATGACACTAGTGCTGTCAGTGATACTATATATGACACTAGTGCTGTCAGTGATACTATATGTTATACTACGGTTGTTGATGATACTATATATAACACTAGTGCTGGCGGTGATACAATATATGACACTAGTGCTGTCAGTGATACTATATATATACTATATACTACGGGCGTCAAGATGCCTTGCACAAAAAATTAGCAATACACATGTGAACATTTTCATCGCCTTTTCATTCAAAACAGTAGTACCATACAGACTAGGAGTCTTTAAACTGCAGAGGCTCACATCGTGCAATCTCCAGAATACGCCACTCGGATTCCGATACACTCCCGTTTCTACGATCAAATCACATTCAGTAGTAACTACCTCCTATACATGGCTCTAGTTTCAAATACCGTGGTGACCTGTGCACAAAATAATAAAAACATAACTAAACAATAACATGTACTGGGCTGTGAAGGTCCACTCTAGCGGCACCTACCTGAGAGAGTGTTCCTCGGCAACTGTGCTTTCTTGGTCTTGACGAAGTCTATTAGCATCAGCTCTCAAACATGATCAAATGTCAGGTCTTTCGTGAATATCAAAACGATTCCAATCGCCCAGCAACAAAATGGTCAAGTTGTTTTATGACGCTAATTGAGATATCGAAATATTATACTGCTTATATGTTGTTATTAAGATATCAAGATTGTAATTATAGCTAATATCGCTGAATATCTGCATATATCGCCAGCTGATCGCTCGCGCTCGCGATTTTTTACATGTTAGCTGTAGACACGGGAAATGGGCTACAGTATAATATATGCGAGGTGGAGCAATAACTGCAATCGATACCATAAAAGAAATCATTATTAATTAATAGATTCAATAATAATATGGTATCGTGTGTCACTTTTACTTTTTTGTACTGCTTATTTTACAGGGACATGCGTAGACATTTTGCGTAATTTGAGAATCGCCGATGGTTTTTCCTTAATTTGCCCACTATGCTGCTGACGTCAGAATGTCGTAGATATAGTCTTCGGCTATCGGCTTCAATCTCACTAATAATAGTGATAATAATAATAATAGTAGTGAGTGAGTGAGTTGGGTTTAACGCCGCCTTAAACAGCATTCCAGTTATATCACGGCGTAATAATAATAATAATAATAAAAATACTAAAAATAATAATACTAAAAATAATAATAATAATGATGATGATGATGATACTACATCGGCATGTACTTTGGACTCGACAAATGCAACATTCTTCATCTGAAATAATCTTAATAAGCTTGATAATCTAATTAATAATAATATAATAATAATAATTTCATCGGTAAAAATATGGCATAATAGATCAAATTAGGGACTTATCATTAGATGGTCCTACTTGATATCAAATACACGTACGTTCTAAAAAAAGTACAAAGCACATCTGGGAGTGAAAATATATTTTACTAATTTGGATAAAAACATTTTAATAACATCACAGAGCATATAATACGATAACATTCAAGAAATTAGTAAACACATGCCTACATAAGACGTTCGCCTAAACCAGCTAAGGAGTCAACATATGTATATGACACATTTATAGGCGCTCACAATCTCGATCTGTGCAGCATTGTCACAACACGCGCCACCTTATGGCGAGCATACATCCGTCACATGACAGTCATGTGATTTGGGGGAAGTAAGTCACGTGTTGTGCAGATAACGTTAGGATATATTGTCCAAGTTCACGCCTTCATCGGTCAAGTCAGCCACGACTACCACTCATGTTGACAGTAACTTTCATCATGAAGCTTATGGTTTTTATGTTGACTGTTGGAGTGATAACAGTCAGCGGACTGAAGACGGGTAAGCCAATTATTAAAAGCTGTTCGGTTTTCGAGCATTGTTATGGAAACTGTCAGTGCTCTCGGGGCGGTGAAATACCAAACTTAGACTCTTGAAGGTTAAATTTTTATTTCCCTGAATAAGAATGATTGCACCTGATGAATCTGTGTAGTTAAATTATATAGATATATATATTTGTATAGAATCTATCTCATCGAGTGACCTGACATAAATGGTTAGTCACATGGTTATATTGTTTAATGGCAAAGATTATCTAGAACTCTATGGTTACACTATAATTGACATATGTTCACATTTCTTTCCGACTATGCACACATTCCTTCTGGTTTTGTATGTTTGCATAAAGATAAAACTTCAGTCAACTTTAGTGTATGCATGACCAAATCATTTTATACCTGTATCCAAATAGATCTACATTTTGGCAGGAGTACGGTCAAACGTTTCCCAATCTGACATTTTCTAACTATATCTTGATACCTTCAGCGGGTACCCGGGTAGGATCAGGTAATAAGGGCCTGGGGTGGGTACCCGGGTAGTAAATTTGGACTCGTCGCAGCCCTAGATCCTATCCTGAAAGTTGGTGCAGTCTAATACAGCACCTCAGCAAAACGTCGTTGATTTGATTGGGCGCAAACGGCACCGCACCAGTATATTTGTTTTATTTATTTATATTACCTGGTTTATTTATCAACATATGCATCATTTAGGGCTGGGACAGGTAACTCGGGTACCCGGGTCGGGGTGGGTACTGAGTAGGTCCTGCGTACGCACAGGACTACCCGGACCCGTGGTTAGTCACGTGATATATTGTCTTATGACTAAAATTATCTGGAACTCTATGGTTACACTACAAGTCACTAATGTTTGCATTTCTTTCTGAACATTGACGAAGAAAGGTCGGTCTGACGTGACCCGTAATGGGATGTCCTCAGATCTTTGTTCAGCGGTAGCGAGAACTAAGATCTGATTTTAATGAGATTGGAGAGAACTTGGTATCAGGTGGCTCCAGTGTCAACCTGAAATGCAACTGGTTTACCTGCAATATTCATTATTGCGAATATTTGTCTGGGATATTCAGACTCCTCTTGCCCCTGATGCACATCTATCACTGGCTCTGTGAGAGTGAGTGAGTTGATGGCGAAATATTATTCCGAGTCTTCGTCCACCTGGATGGCATTTACAAGTGGTCTAGAGTGGCGAGGTGATTGCATTGTGCGACACATGGCTGGACTGTGGCTCTTCAGCTTACATCTGGTGCACGTTTTTCCAACATTTCAGTTTCTCTCATGTTCTCGCCCACAGAACCTGCACTGTATTGTGTTGCTACTAACGTTTGGTTTCACTTGAGTGGCCTGTTGACTGTGCTGTCTCAAAGTCTTTTTCTGTGAGTGATGCCCACTGGTTTGTCCACTGTTCCTATTCCATGGTTTATTTGACCAGTTCTTTTCTCTAACCATGTGCACTGTTTGCGCAGTGTCCGAGGTATTTAATTGTTCCTTTGAAATTTCTGGTGCTCTACATAAGCGTACACACTTCTCCAGATCCAAACCATCCTCTCTCAAGAGTCGTTCACGAAGCTGATTGTCTGTGACTCCACAGACAATGCGGTCTCTAATCAGTGATTCTCTAAATGTAGCAAAGTTACATGTGGTAGCTAGGATTTTTTTGGTCAGTCCTGATTCCTGGTAAAGAATTTATACCTCTCCACAGTTTCTGATTTCTTTGGATTACAATTTACAATACAGTTCAAAAGCATCAAAAACATGTTGTTATGTTCTTGCGCCTTTTCCCAAGGTAAAGGTTATGTACACTTCCCTGGGGCCCAGATCAGATATCGAAAGTACTTTATTTTCGATTCTGCAGAGTTGCCTTCCAACTGATTGGGAGGTTTGAGATTATGGGTCCTCTCACAATACTCAAGTGATTGCTGCTATTTTCTATGATCTATTGCGCCCCCTCGTCTCCCATGACAATTCAATGCTGTTTGAACACGAACGTATGACTCTCATCTCTGTAATACGTGATAAGTGATGTCTGCTTACACTTCGGACACCATGTTTAAGTCTTCATGTCATGAACAGTGTGTTTGGTGGACATCCTTTACTTACTAGGCAAGATGGTGGTACACAACCCTCGATGACTGTACACACAAAGTGTGTGTGACGTCATACACATGACATCCCTCTCAAATGCTGTAGTAGTGAGACTACTTGTTGCAGGGGGTAACCTCTTTGGGCATGTGGACAAGGTGTCTTACAAACAGGAGAATAGTCGGATCACATGATAAACCTACACCCACAGTGTGATCACTGGAGCAGAAATTTCTCTCACAGAATAAAGCGAACATAGCTGGTAATTGTTTACAAACAGAGCTTAAGAATGGTCAACGTCCTGTACAGCGACCACATCACTTTAACCAGGTTGTCAGCCATCTTCCCGAGGCAAGAGAGTTAACTGACTTTAAAAGTACAAATTCCACCCTTGCCGAACTATCCTGGAATTCCTGGGCTTGATAGTAGCGCCACCAGTGGTTATTATGAGTTATGTCACTTCTGAGCCTCTCCTATAGACCAATCCCATCCCATCACTTGCATTTGTTTCAAACAAAATGGCGGCACCCAGTCAAGACAATCTGTTCGATAATCAAGATCTATATTGTGATAAAACGGGTCTTACATCGCAAAGTGCATCAAATCACTCGAGCACCTTGATTAAAAACATGAAACGGTTTGGAAAATATCTGTTGACAACAATCCTGCAACCGACATAAACTGCACAACAGTTTACGAACCGGATTTCAATTACGAGATTTTGATTGGACTATGCATAGACTCGTTAGTCCAGCTGAAATATAACTCCATATTAACAGCCTAGTTTGGCAAGGGTGAAAACTGGACTTTTATAGTCAGTTAACTATCAAGCCTCAGGAAGATGGTTGTCAGCAAGATACAGACAGACTGACTAACAGATCCCTCAGCGATCGCAGATCATGACGACCATGAACTCAGGTCCATTATGTCACTGTCCCTCATGTCAGAGGCCACTACCAGCAATCATCACAGACGGCAAGGACTCGCCATGGACACCATGGACCAGTGTCGGAGAGGGCTGTACGTCACCGCTTACAGACTGCAGGACTAATTGTCACCTTTAGCAGTCTTGTGTTTTCTTGTAGGACCCTGTAACCATATTTCACTGACTTGTCCTCTTGTAATGTTCCTGACCCCATACTCAACAAATGATATCTGTTCACACAGCTTCTGATTACAGTTTTTGAAATAAGCGCCTGCCTGTAGGCCCGGGGTAGGTAGATCTCGAATCGGGCCTGTGGTTTCAAATTTGTGTGAGTTCTTATTGCCTGCTGTAGATTTGTGTGCCAGTGTATTTGTCATAGTAAGCTGCAGTTTGTTTTAATGAGGGCCTGAAGAGTTTAGTCAAGGACTGCAGCGTCTAAAGTCTGTGGGTCCTGATGGCAGTCTGGTAATCTTTTTTATTTCAAACACTGTTTGACGGTAATAAATAGATATACTGGGCATTAAACAGTGTCAAAGTTATCACTTCCACAATCAGGTGCTGACTTTCTTTTGATTTCAGTGTAGTTCCAGCATTAAGAGGGCGGTCGGGTAGCCTAGTGGTTAAAGCATTCGCCGAACACCCGGGTTCGATTCCCCACATGGGTACAATGTGTGAAGCCAATTTCTGGTGTCCACTACCATGGTATTGCTGGAATATTGCTAAAAGCAGCGTAAAACCATACTCACTCACTCACTCACTCCAGCATTAAGTCTGAATTCTGTTCTCAAATAGATATAGTATTTCGTCACTAAACACAATATACTCATTTACTTTCAGGTTTTTTTCGCAATGGAAACATTAGCTGCAAACAACGTAGATGCATAAGTGTGGATGATCCAAAGCAAGCAACAGCATACGGGCAGTACAATGACACCCTCCTGGAGACCGGCTGGGGGGTGCTGGAGATTGTGGCAGGGAGGGGGGAACCTGCCTCCGATGATGACATCATGTTTGCAGCCGGGATGTTGGAGGGCATGTTTACAGCGGAGTAAGTAAATCATCAATCTCATCAAGCAATCATTACACTCTTAAATTTATCTATATTACTTCTTATCAAAATTGCACCGTTGCGTCCCTTGGGCACGCCAGAAACCTATGATCTGAGGTTTGATTCCTGTTTGCCCCCGATTTTGTTTCTAGGTTTGTCAGCACCATAACCCGCTTATTGGTTTCACCAAAGTGGTAAAGGTCTGAGACATGCATCACTTCGGGCTTTCCTCCCACATTAAACTGATACGCCTTGATATACCGTATTCGACGTAATAAGCGCCCACAGCAATATTTGCTAATATATTGGTTAGTGAACAATCCCAGTTAACACCCCTTCCGATTGATCAATGAACACAAGACTTATTTATTTGTGTATAATACGTGTGTTATATGCATCTTTAATTATGGGAAATTAAATTCTGGAAATATATATTTGTCGTATATAAACATTTCAGGCCATGTTAGAACCCTTGAAACTTTCTGGAGTGTGTGTATTATAGTAAAGCCGCTGTCAGCAATACTCCAGCGATCTGCCTCAGTGGCCTGTAAATAATACACTAGTTGATAGCATGAGCAACAATCCACCCAATCCACAGTTGGTCAGGTCATACATTGTGACCACTTGATACTCATTTTACTTGCCTCATGTGATGAGCATGAAGTACTGATGGGCTGAAATTGTATCGATCATGAGCATTGAGAAGGAATGATGGCAGTTTTGATTCATTTGTTATTTCAGTCTCAGAAAACATTTTCTGGTAAATTAGGAGACATGTTTTCAATGTAAAACTAGATTACCTGTAGATTTATTGTTAGTGAAGATATTGAGTGATGCTGCTTTGGTCATGTCGGTTGAGTCCAGTGTTTTGATTAAGCACTGATAATAGCCTTGAAACAAAGAATGAATATGCTTAAATATAGCTTTATTACATTTAAGGCTAAAAACAAATAGTCTTGGTTCTCAGCCACTGCCCCCATCATCATAAGTTTGCCACACGTTCTGTTTTTATTTCCATTTTTAAAACCCAACCCAAATCCTTAAATATTCCAAATCCAATAGTAGTCAAATACTGTATTCCTCATCAAGGAGGCTCTTTTCCAGGTTGATTGTACACACGTGTTTATTTGGTTACATACTACATATAGTTTGAACAACCCCCCAAAAAGGCCCATCACCCTGTTTTAAAAAGCCATTGCGTGAGAACCAATTATTATATTTTTTAAGTCTAATACTTCATTCGTATTCTGTAAATCTTGATATTAACGCATGAGTGAATTAAATGCGAAAAATGAGAGTGGACTTTGCTCGCATTATTAAACATCGCATTTATATCAACAATAAGACATTTTGGATAGCAGAAATACCAACTTAGACATACGCTGAAAACAAACAACTATGTATTCCACATCACTGTTTATTGAGCAGCACTTGTTACAAGTATATAAACAATGTCATTCAAACACTAATTACATCCTGTGAATTGTCACTGCTGGGGTCAAGACAAGCGTTCTACACACTCATGTCATCACTGATCACACCTGCAAGTCCAGACAGACGCCACCCAACACGGGGTCTTTGCTCTTTGCGACTGCATCAAAGGCAGACACGAGCCAGCACGCACGTATTGTTTTAGCTGAAGTACTCTACTCAGCGCTAATAAGCGGTGCTATTTGGTGTGTGATTTGATTAATGTAAGGTTGGATTAAGGTAAGGATTCTCCTGTAAACCTGACAGAGGACATTTTGTTTAGATATAAATCCACTGATGCTTGAGAGGAGTGGGGGTGTAACATTCATATTGAGTCACATTTTTGGCTTGGGGCCAGCGGTTGCATTCTTTTGGAGACGCATTAATTTCACATTTTACAGTATATGACTGGCACAGCCAGTTTGTAAGCTAACATGAAGTAGGCATCCCTTATAATATATAAACAGGCTTTGCAAAGTGTCATTCTACACCACACATCACTGTTATGGCATCTCTCTGCTCATTGGAATACAAACGATGTGATGTCACTGTTGGATTTAGAAATACGACAAATTTCAAGATTTCTGTTGTCCCTATAAAACTTGAAAAACACCCTCTTTGCCAATTTCTGTTTTCTGCCCAAAAGGAATTGCCACACATACTTTGAATATCGTAGGAACCACAATACTGAATTGTCTCAGCTACAAGGAATCAATATTTCAAAATGCCTACCAACTTTGAAATTCTTTTCTCATTTAGTTAGTGGTGGGATTCAAAATGTATGCTCTGCTTTTTCGCAATAATTTTAATTTTGACCTTGAAATAACCTTTGCTCTAAAAAAGCACTGAAATCTCTAAATTCTTATGACCATTTCTCATCTGTTTTCATTAAAAATGTAATGAAGTTGTGTGTATGTGTAAATGGTTAGAGATTGGGCCCAACACATATGTAACGTTTTTTGCAATAGTTTAATTTTTAACATTGATTTGTTCCTAAATACTCTCATTATAATGCACTGCCTCACACTGTTGATGCCCATGAAGATTCGGGGAAGAAAAGGTCTTCAGCAACCCATACTTGCTGTAAAAGGCGACGATCCTTGTCGTAAGAGGTGACTAACGGGATCAGGTGGTGAGGCTCGCTGACCTGGTTGATGCATGTCATCGTATCACAATTGCGTAGATCGATGCTCATGATGTCAATCACTGGATTGTCTGGTCCAGACTTGATTATTTACAGGCCACTGTCATATAGCTGGAATATTGCTGAGTTTGGCATTAAACACAAATTCTTGTATCTGATCCATCTTCCTGATACAGCTCTAAAAGGTCTTACTGAACTAGGCTGGAATTTCGTGGCTCGATTGTACTGTACATGTTTTGTCCCTTCTCTGTCCCTTCTTTTGATCAATCAGATTCCACCTATCATGCGTGTCTTACCTCACGAAGTACATGAGATCACTTGAGAGCACCTTGACTTTAAACATGTCCACGCCCAGTTGACAATACACATGCTGTGCAAATCCTGCAATCGACCGATGTCTGCACCGCAATTGCCATATTGTTTATGTACTGGATATCGATTTCATAACTTGATTTTATTTGGACTATGTACTCGTTAGTCCAGCCAAGATATAACTCCATAATTCCAACCTAGTTCTTCAAGGAACTTTAAGAGTTAGTTAACTCCCTTGCCTCGGGAAGATGTATCGAACCATACGTTATCCTCTTCATATCTCATGTCATGGAGAACATGATAACTATTTCTTGGTTTCTTTTTAGTCGCATCTATCAACATTATCAGAATATCCATGCAACATTCTTCGGCACCAAGAAGTCCAGTGACTATGAAGTGAAGGCCCGCAAGTTTCTGATGGAGCAGGATGCTTGGATGAGGCAGATGATCAAGAAGAATCCATCGGACGCACTGTGGCGACACATGGGCTATGTACTTGCCCAGTTTGATGGCTTAGTGGCCGGATACAAACTGACTGCCAGTCCGAAAAAGGTGCCTATGAGTTATTATACCCCCACCCCCAGTGAAGTAGGAATGGGTGATGTCTGGCCATCCATTCTTATTAAAATCAGATCTGAGTTCTTGCTACTGCTAAACAAAGATCTGAGGACATCCCATTGAGGGTCATGTCAGAACAACCTTCTATCTGACCAATCAGAGCATCGCTTAGCAGATCATGAAAGAGACAGTTGGAATGTGATTTTTTATCGTGCAACCTCGAAAAAAAACAAAAACACAGGGTATTCTGAACGACAGTTATGTGCTTTGTGTCTGTATTCATACCATCTAGGCCATCTATTAGCCATTCCATAATGTTCTTTTGTTCAGTTTTAATTTTTTAATCAAGTATATGTCAAAATATGTTTCGAAGCATGGTCGCCAGTTTGAAACTCGTGCTGTAAAGCTCGATTAAGCTGCCTTCTGATTGACTATTGTTGACTTCTTGTTAGTCATACTATTGGTCGGTCAAAGTTCGCGAAAGGTCGGCCTGACATGACCCATAATGGGATGTCCTCACATCTTTGTTTAGTGGTAGCGAGAAGTAAGATCTGATTTTAATGAGATTGTCCTGATATAAGTGAACTGGCTATTTCGGAATTTATTTTTTCCAGTTTCCATACTGGTACTTTATAGTAACCCATGTTCAATTCAAAGAAGGCCCAAAGGTCAAGTTTGGGTGACAGAGCTTACCTCATTTGTACTGTCACACATATCAGCCAAGTCGTCAGCTGGTGACTTGTGTAAAGGTAGCAGTCAGCCTATTTATCAGTTTTCGAGTCCCAGGGTGCTTTTAAGAGGTTTTAGTCTTGCACTCAAGAGAACCAAATTACCATTAGCTGGAGATATGAGTATTTCATGCTTGTTAGTACAATGTATTGGTTGTTATTCCATCTACTGTAGATACTGGTACAGAGGGGTATTTATTTGGGCTAGAATTAGCCGATCTGTATCTTCTTGCCGCAAGATATTCCTTTATCTAGAGACTTGGAATTTAAAAGATATGGAAATACAAGAAAATAGGGTTGAATAGGTTGTGGTATATTCATACTATTGCCTTTTGTTTTGTTTTCGGATTTTCTCTATGCCCTTTTTGTAACTTGTTTGTAGACTATTTTCTTGTTAAGATGTGTGATTATTCAAATACAAATATCCTGATACAGCAACACAACAAGATTGTATTGATATAATTCTTGTTTAACAAAATGTATTTCAGTTACTGTTACCTTAATATAACCTTTGGCTTACATTCTGTGGTCAATATATTATATATGATATATGATATACATACATGTGTTATTATTTTGAGGGCATGGGTGGCCCATTCGTCTAAGGCACTGCAATTCGCTGTGCAGAGTTGTGTCCCTTGAGAACAGAGATACTATGATCGTGGGTTTGAATCTTGGGTTTTCCCCGATTATGTTTCTCGGTTTGTCAGCACCATCATATTTGTGCTTGTGGGTTTCACTCTGTGGTAAATGTCTGAGAAATGCATCACTGCAGGCTTTCCTCCCACATTAAGCTGACACGTGGGGATATAACTGGCCTGAAACCCAACTCACTCACTATCCTTATTGTTGTTATTGTATTATTATTATTGTTGGAGTTCTACTGTTTGATACGTCCTTACTTGCAGGCCCTGGACATATTTGCCTTCCAAGTGCTCAATGGAGCCGGTGACCTGCTGGACCTGAGGAATGCCCTGGTTCCAGATGAAATCCCAGATTGGTCCAAGATGTCCAAAGTGGAGGCGTTCAGATATATCCGACAAAACAGTCACTGTTCAGCTCTCATAAAGGTTTGTCTGTAGTTTTCATTCTCTTTCATGCTGTTTTCATGAAATGTAAGACTGTTTTGTTTATTTGGTAAAATATGTTTTTGAGTGAGTGAAAGGGTGTATGTTTCTCACCATGCTTTTTGCGATATTGTGTGAGTATTACCCATACTGATTCAATAATAAAAAGCCTATTTCAAAATGGAAAACAGTCTTAAATAAATATTTTATGGACCTTTGTAAAAAATATGGTCATTTTTCTTTAAATGTATATCCTAAGTGTTTCTTTATCAATCTATTTTTCTTGTTTTTGTTGAAGTGAGATAATAACAAATGAAACATTGCGCTCTTTGAGTTAAATATATTCAATTTAAACGTGTGTTTATTTTTATTTATATTATTACAAGCTTTCTTTTGAAAGTAATGAACTTGAATCACCCCTGTTAATTTTTAAGACTTGTAATTTGCCTCTTGTATCTTGGCACATTGACCTTCTTTGGCGAACCTTTGTTAGAATGTGTTCCCAGCCCTATTGTTGCTTGTACGGGGGAATGCGGGTTAGAATGTGTCCCCAGCCCTATTGTTGCTTGTACGGGGGAATGCGGGTTAGAATGTGTCCCCAGCCCTATTGTTGCTTGTACGGGGGAATGCAGGTTAGAATGTGTCCCCAGCCCTATTGTTGCTTGTATGGGGGAATGCGGGTTAGAATGTGTCCCCAGCCCTATTGTTGCTTGTACGGGGGAATGCGGGTTAGAATGTGTCCCCAGCCCTATTGTTGCTTGTACGGGGGAATGCGGGTTAGAATGTGTCCCCAGCCCTATTGTTGCTTGTACGGGGGAATGCGGGTTAGAATGTGTCCCCAGCCCTATTGTTGCTTGTATGGGGGAATGCAGGTTAGAATGTGTCCCCAGCCCTATTGTTGCTTGTACGGGGGAATGCGGGTAAGAATGTGTCCCAAGCCTTGTTGTTGCTTGTAAGGGGGAATGCAGATAAGAATGTGTTCCCAGCCCTATTGTTGCTTGTACAGGGGAATGCAGGTTAGAATGTGTCCCCAGCCCTATTGTTGCTTGTACAAGGGAATGCAGGTTAGAATGTGTCCCCAGCCCTATTGTTGCTTGTACAAGGGAATGCGGGTTAGAATGTGTCCCCAGCCCTGTTGTTGCTTGTACGGGGGAATGCGGGTTAGAATGTGTCCCCAGCCCTATTGTTGCTTGTACGGGGGAATGCGGGTTAGAATGTGTCCCCAGCCTTGTTGTTGCTTGTACGGGGGAATGCTGGTTAGAATGTGTCCCCAGCCCTGTTGTTGCTTGTACGGGGGAATGCGGGTTAGAATGTGTCCCCAGCCCTATTGTTGCTTGTACAAGGGAATGCGGGTTAGAATGTGTCCCCAGCCTTGTTGTTGCTTGTACGGGGGAATGCAGGTTAGAATGTGTCCCCAGCCCTATTGTTGCTTGTACAGGGGGAATGCGGGTTAGAATGTGTCCCCAGCCCTATTGTTGCTTGTACGGGGGAATGCGGGTTAGAATGTTTCCCCAGCCTTCTTGTTGCTTGTACGGGGGAATGCGGGTTAGAATGTTTCCCCAGCCCTATTGTTGCTTGTACGGGGGAATGCAGGTTAGAATGTGTCCCCAGCCCTATTGTTGCTTGTACAGGGGAATGCAGGTTAGAATGTGTCCCCAGCCCTGTTGTTGCTTGTACGGGGGAATGCGGGTTAGAATGTGTCCCCAGCCCTATTGTTGCTTGTACGGGGGAATGCGGGTTAGAATGTGTCCCCAGCCCTATTGTTGCTTGTACAGGGGAATGCAGATAAGAATGTGTCCCCAGCCCTATTGTTGCTTGTACGGGGGAATGCGGGTTAGAATGTGTCCCCAGCCCTGTTGTTGCTTGTACAAGGGAATGCGGGTTAGAATGTGTCCCCAGCCTTGTTGCTTGTACAGGGGAATGCGGGTTAGAATGTTTCCCCAGCCTTGTTGTTGCTTGTACGGGGGAATGCGGGTTAGAATGTGTCCCCAGCCCTATTGTTGCTTGTACAGGGGAATGCAGGTTAGAATGTGTCCCCAGCCCTGTTGTTGTTTGTACGGGGGAATGCAGGTTAGAATGTGTCCCCAGCCCTATTGTTGCTTGTACAGGGGAATGCAGGTTAGAATGTGTCCCCAGCCCTATTGTTGCTTGTACGGGGGAATGCGGGTTAGAATGTGTCCCCAGCCCTGTTGTTGCTTGTACGGGGGAATGCGGGTTAGAATGTGTCCCCAGCCCTATTGTTGCTTGTACAAGGGAATGCGGGTTAGAATGTGTCCCCAGCCCTATTGTTGCTTGTACGGGGGAATGCAGGTCAGAATGTGTCCCCAGCCCTATTGTTGCTTGTACGGGGGAATGCGGGTTAGAATGTGTCCCCAGCCCTGTTGTTGCTTGTACAAGGGAATGCGGGTTAGAATGTGTCCCCAGCCTTGTTGTTGCTTGTACGGGGGAATGCAGGTTAGAAAGTTTTCAAAATTTTAATCGAGAACTGTGTCAACATATATTTCAAGCGTAGTCTCAAATGGAAGTCGCCAGGTTGAAACGATTGTCGTAAAGCTTGAGAAAGCTGCTTTCTGATTGGTTGGTGTCGACTTCTTGTTAGTCATTTCAGTGGTCCGTCAAAGTTCGCAAAAGGTCGTTCAAATGTGACCCGTAATGGGCTTTCCTCAAATCTTTGTTTAGTGGCAGCGAGAACTTTGTTCTGATTTTAATGAGATTGCGATACAGTACATATCTCGATACTAGGGATGGGTATTGGAGGTTTATTTTACGATGCACAAGGCTCTATTGCGATACATATCATAATGTATTGTATGATTCTGAATTTTGAAGTCAGAAGCAATTTGAAACACCTGTGTATGAATTGTAGCTCATAAATAGAATTTTAGATGAGTAATAAAAGGGTGACAGACCTAGAAAGGTGACTCTGCTTGTCATATGAGGCGACTAACGGGATCAGGTGGTCAGGCTTGCTGACTTGGTAAATGCATGTAATCGAATCCCAATTACGTAGATCGATGCTCATGATGTTAATCTCTTGATTGTCTTGTCCAGACTTGATTATTTACAGACCGTCATCACATAGCTGGACTATTGGTGAGTGCGGCGTTAAACAATAAACAAACAAACACACATCGTGGAAAGAATTAACCTCAATTTACCGATAATACTGCACACCCCTACTCCATAAACTGGTTACAGTGCAATACATATCTCATTATGCAAGAATTACAATGCGAAGGCAATGAAATGAAATACTCATGTATTTTAGATGCGTGGAAAAAATGGTGACAAAAAGTAACACGGACACCATATTGATCCCAATAGCAGATTTGTGGGACATGGATGGTTTCTTTAAGCTCACATTTCATTAGTAAGTAAAAGACATGTTTTTTGTATCACAAGGATCACGATACAAGTCCATATGTCTTGTGTATCATATTGTATCACATTGCCTTGTAGTTAGACATAAGAGGCAACTAACGGGATGGGGTGGTCAGGCTCGCTGAGTTGGAAGATGCAGGTCATCGTATCCCAATTGAGTGGATTGATGCTCATGATGTCAGTCACTGGATTGTCTGGTCCAGACTCGATCATTTAGGGACCGCCGACAAACAAACAAACAATGACCATACAATGAACACTGGGGCGTGTTCTGTCTTGGAATCAGCTCAGGGGTAGGGGTAGTGATACAGATTGTAGGTTTGTCAATCTCTTCATCCCCAGGTGCTGGGAGCGTATGAGAATCTGTTCATGTCCCACTCCAGTTGGTTTGTGTATGCCGCCATGCTGAGAATCTACAAACACTATGACTTCAATGTGGCAGACCCAAAGACATCTGCCAAGAGAATATCCTTCTCCAGCTACCCAGGTAAGCTAGATGCCCATCAAGTACACCCATGATTCCTGTTGCCGGGCTCCTCGAGCCCCTGACTTGTGAGATATTCCTGTTGCAGGGTTCCTGGAGTCTCTGGCTTGTGAGATGTTCCTGTTGAGGGGGTCCTGGAGTCTCTAACTTATTACATGTTCCCGTTGCATGGGTCGTGGAGTCTCTGACTTGTGAGATGTTCCTGTTGAGGGGGTCCTGGAGTCTCTAACTTATTACATGTTCCCGTTGCATGGGTCATGGAGTCTCTGACTTGTGAGATGTTCCTGTTGCGGGGTTCCTGCAGACTCTGACTTGTGAGATGTTCCTGTTGCAGGGGTCGTGGAGTCTCTGACTTGTGAGATGTTCCTGTTGCATGGTTCCTGGAGACTTTGACTTGTGAGATGTTCCTGTTGCAGGGGTCCTGGAGTCTCTGGCTTGTGAGATGTTCTTGTTGAAGGGTTCCTGGAGTCTCTGGCTTGTGAGATATTCCTGTTGCAGGGGTTCTGGAGTCTCTGGCTTGTGAGATGTTCCCGTTGCAGGGTTCCTGGAGTCTCTGACCAAGATATGTTCTTGTTCTTGTCCTCTTTGAGTCCCTCTCCATGATATGTTCCTGTCCCTGGAGTCCCTGATCATAACATGTTTCTGTTGCAGGGTTCCTGGAGTCCCTGGATGACTTCTACCTGCTGGGGAGCCAGATGGTGATGTTGCAGACAACCAACAACGTCTTCAACAAGACACTCTTCTCCTCCGTCAAACCCTACTCCCTCCTGGCCTGGCAGCGTGTCCGGGTCGCAAACATGATGGCCAACTCGGGCAAGGAATGGGCTGCAGCCGTCACAAGATACAATTCTGGTGAGAAGGTGTTGCATTATCAATATACGGTACCACTAGAATTTTGGCAACATGATAAAGGAACTGACAGTTTTTTTCACGAGGCCTTAGGATTTCTCTTTTTGGCAAGTTATTCCATTATCGTCCAAGATTAGGAGTGGGGATGAATTTTTGGTTCCAGAAAGGACTTGAGGAAAATAATTTTACCGCAAATTGTACACAAAAAAGTGTTTACTGGACATGCCGGAAATCATGCTTTCAGAGAAACAACTGCATGTCTTAAAGTTGTGAGTGAAAGATATTCTATTTCATAACGCCCAACCCATATGCAACCCCTCAACCCCGAAAATGTGACATGTGTTGATTGTCATCACACGCTGTATTTTTAATGTCTGTCATAATTGTTTATCGTCATTACTATATTTCTCTGTAGGGATTTGAGCAATTGGAACCAAAAAAACACATCAACGAAAAAATAATTGAAAAAAATTTAAATTATTATTTAAAAGCTAATGACATAAAATATCAAATTTAACAAACAGTAAGAGTTTGCTTTCTAAACAAGCTTATTAGAATGTTTTCGAATACATATATATGATCCCGGCCACTGGAGAGAACAAAGCCTTCTTTGTCATGTAAGACGTACATGTACATACTTACTGATGCACCTGTGAAACGCCTGAAACACCTCTGGCATAATTATCATATATTTCACCCAATACATAGACTAACCCAAATATATTTACCAAATATACCAAAGCTGATTGGTAAGTTAAAAATCTGTAAGACAAAGTTGTATTATGCTCTTCCATAGCCTATCATCACTATATTGCTACTGGACCATGAGAAATTGCAATGCATCATTAGTGGGCTCATTTGTTCTGCCTTACTGGGCAACACAGGTGCTTTATTTGCTGCACCTGTCTAGCTTGCAGGCATAACATGATATCAATCGTTGTGCTGGTCATTTGAACACAGAGATCGGTGATACAGAGTGGCTGCAGATGATAATGTTAGCATGCACTGGAGTAAATGTTTGGGAGTACAGGGATATACCTGCGTCTATTTATAATTTGAGGGAGTCCACAAATCCAACTGGGAGGCTCAGTTACGCTTTTCACTTGATTTCCACAAGTTGTACTCACTTTATTTCATGCCACATGAGGGGCACGGGTGGCCCAGTCGTCTAATTGCGTCCCTTGGGCACGCCAGAAACCTATGATTGTGGGTTCGGATCCCGGTTCGCCCCGATTATGTTTCTAGGTTTTTCAGCACCATACCCGTGCTCGTGGGTTTCACCGAAGTGGTAAACGTCTGAGGCCTGCATCACTTCGGGCTTTCCTTCCACATTAAGCTGACACAGCGTGATATAACTGGAAAACTGTTAAAAGCGGCGTTAAACCGAACCCACTCACTCACTCACTCACTCACTCACTCACTCATGCCACATGCTCTGGAAGCCTTTAGCCTTTTGTTGGTGGAGATTTCTATGTTCAGCAGAAGACACTATACCACTGGCATGCTGAGTTTTGAGTGTATTTGTACAATTTTGATTTGGTTTGGATAATTCAAACAGCCATATGTTATTGAGTCCCAAGGATTAACAGCATAGATTAGCAGCATTCATTCACAACTTGTTTTGTATAGGATGCCATGTTTAATATCGTATAGGATGCAATATATAGTTTGGCATAGGATGCAATATTTTGGATGGTATAGGATGCAATATTTAGTATCATATAGGATGCAATATTAGGTATGGTAAAAGATGCAATATTTTGGATGGTGTATGATGCAATATTTAGTATCTTATAGGGTGTAATATTGGATTTTGTATAAAATACAATACTTAGTAGAGTTATGCAACATTTCCTATGATAGAACATGACATGTTTAGTATTTTAGAGGATGCAATCTTTTGTATAGTTTAGGATGCAATACTTTGCATCTGGTAAAACCCTGTTTAGTAGATGTGATTACTCTACTAAGGACTATGTACAAATACATGTGTTAGTCACTGGGCCACTGAATGCTGACAGTCATGTCAGTTATATTTTATGAGTGTTTCTTTAGGTTTGTCACTCTCTGGAATGACTGACCATGTGAGTGAGTGAGTATGGTTTTACGCCGCTTTTAGCAATATTCCAGTAATATAACGGCGGGGGACACCAGAAATGGGCTCCACACATTGTACCCATGTCAGGAATCGAACCCGGGTCTTCGGCTTGACGAGCAAACGCTTTAACCACGAGGCTACCCCACCGTCCCTGACTGACCAGTGAGTGAGGGAGGGAATGAGTAGCCCAATGGTCTATCAAGGTCCCAAGTTATTGACAGTTTTAATCCTTGGTCTGTCAGCATGTTAACTTGGCTTTTATGTGTAGTTGCAACTTTTAAAAAGGGAGGGGTGCACTAAAATATACAACATGCTTGATGAAAGTGGATGATTTTCAAAACAATTGGTAGTTGTGTAATCTAGTTTTAGCTTTGCATTTTTTCTACCAAATTTATAAATGTTAGAGGGGGCGGTGGGGTAGGCAAGTGGTTAAAGTGTTCCTCCATCACGCTGACGACCAGGGTTCGATTCCCCACATGGGTACAATGAGTGAAGCCCATTTCTGGAGTCCCCCGCCGTGATATTGCTGGATTATTACTAAAAGCGGTGTAAAACACTCACTCACTCACTCACTCACTCAATCTGAATGGTTTGGTATGCTTGTAAAAAGGATGCGTGCGAGCGATCTAGAAAGTGAACTGATCTGAAAGCGTGGATAAGTTAGTGTGATGCTGGGAATATTTCAGGAACATACAACAACCAGTACATGATTGTGGACCTCAAGAGAATTCAGCTGGGATCAAGCATCTTGGATGATGCATTGTGGGTAGTGGAGCAGATACCCACCTTGGTCAAGTCAGGTGACCAGACGGCAATACTGAGGACAGGTATGTTCAGAACTCTTAGGAAAGATGATATAAAGATGCTGTTCATCATTGCCTGTCATATCAGTAAAGCCTTGTTTGGACTTGATAAAGGAGTGTAGGGCACTGTCCTGTTCTAGGAGTAGATGTGATCATGTTGCAGGCTACTTTCCTTCTTACAATGTCCTGTTCTAGGAGTAGGTGTGATCATGTAGGCTTCTGGTCATCCTACGATGTCCTGTTCTAGGAGTAGGTGTGATCATGTAGGCTTCTGGTCATCCTACGATGTCCTGTTCTAGGAGTAGATGTGATCATGTAGGCTTCTGGTCATCCTACGATGTCCTGTTCTAGGAGTAGATGTGATCATGTTGCAGGCTACTTTCCTTCTTACAATGTCCTGTTCTAGGAGTAGATGTGATCATGTAGGCTTCTGGTCATCCTACGATGTCCTGTTCTAGGAGTAGATGTGATCATGTAGGCTTCTGGTCATCCTACGATGTCCTGTTCTAGGAGTAGATGTGATCATGTAGGCTTCTGGTCATAATACAATGTCCTGTTCTAGGAGTACCAGTAGATGTGATCATGTAGGCTTCTGGTCATAATACGATGTCCTGTCCTAGGAGTACCGGTAGATGTGATCATGTAGGCTTCTGGTCATAATACAATGTCCTGTTCTAGGAGTACCAGTAGATGTGATCATGTAGGCTTCTGGTCATAATACGATGTCCTGTCCTAGGAGTACCGGTAGATGTGATCATGTAGGCTTCTGGTCATCCTACGATGTCCTGTTCTAGTAGTACCGGTAGATGTGATCATGTAGGCTTCTGGTCATCCTACGATGTCCTGTTCTTGGAGTACCGGTAGATGTGATCATGTAGGCTTCTGGTCATAATAAAATGTCCTCTTCTTGGAGTACCGGTAGATATGATCATGTTGCAGGCTACTTTCCCTCCTACAATGTCCCGTTCTATGAGGAAGTCTACCAGCTCAGCGGCTATCCAGACTTCGTGGCAACGCATGGCTCTGATTTCTCGTACCAGCTGGCCCCAAGGGCCAAAATATTCCGGCGCGATGAGGGCAAGGTGGTTGACCTGGCATCCATGAAGAAGATAATGAGATACAATGGTAAGTTGTGGCTAACAAAAGAAGATCATGAGATACAATGGTAAGTTGTGGCTAACAAAAGGAGATCATGAGATACAATGGTAGGTTGTGGCTCACAAAAGAAGATCGTGAGATACAATGGTAAGTTGGGGCTAACAAAAGAAGATCATGTGATACAATGGTAAGTTAGGGCTTACAAAAGAAGATCATGAGATACAATGGGAAGTTGGGGCTGCAAATATTATTGCCTCACAAATGCTGGTGGAGATTTGACTGATTTGAGTCAAAGACCAGAAACAAAGACACCCAGTTGAAACTAACTTTTATTTAACAACTGCTCAATCTTTGGTCGACTGCAAAGATACAGCTAAAAAAAATACCTTTTCACATGAGAAGTGAAGAAACACAATGCAGATATTTATCATGTGCAAGAGAACAAATCCCTTTCTGAAACCAGTAATATGTCAGTCTTCCTATTACATAGAGGCGAAAGTCCAAGTAACTCTCCCATTCCTTAAAAATATATTTTAAGTGACAGAGTTACAAGGATATTCTCCTGCTTAAAACACATCCCTACTTTTACACTTTTAAGTGTAAATTAATTGAAATGTTGGTTCAAGATATTGAATAATGGACAACCACCTGTCCTTCCTGAAAAATAACAGAGCGTTTATACAATAGAATGGCATAACAGATGTGTTTTAATGTAAAGATATTGAATATACCCAAACTACTTTGTGACAAATAAAGTCAAAACATTATTGCATTTTTTAAATTTTGACCAATCCATGGTAATTTGTTCACAAGACCTCTAAAAAACATAACATAAAAAATATGGTCTTAACTCTCAGATGTTTGAAGTGATATTTCTTAGATTTGTAACTGAACTTAATTTTTGATATCTTAATATTCATATATGTCACCAGATTACAAGCATGACCCTTACTCAGAAGACATGCCTTGCAATACCATATGTTGCCGTGGTGACCTGGAGTCTGAAAACCCTATGCCTGATGGCTGCTACGACACAAAGGTGTGTACAGAGACAAAGTATTAATTATGAATTTCTGTCTAAATTTTAAATTTTAATAAATTTTTTTACATTTTACACCAGCTTGAGGATTTCAGGTTAGAATTGGCCTCCTACATCCTAGGCTGGTTGAAAAAGCTGACTTAATGGATGGTTTGGTCAGGCATTGTGAATCAGTTGATTGTGTCCAAGGCTACCGCCATACAACTGGGATATTGCTGAGTGCAGCATTTAACAACAAACAAACAGAGATGTCAGATCAAATGATTAAAGAAATGAATCTGACCTTTTCTTTCTTGTGGTTCTCATATACAGAGACCACCTCTGTGGTCTAGTGGTAGAGCATCTGCCCTGAGAGCAGAAGGTCGGGGGATTGACGACGCTAGAAGATGGTACTTGTTGTTACCCTGCTGGCATTCAGCATTACGGGGCTATGCTTAGTCTTAGCTTAGTTTTTGGAATAATTTCATCCCAAATTCGACAGGCAATGTCTGTGGCCATAGCAGCAGCCATGTTTTCGAAACACAGATATTGATTTGTAATTTGTACTCTGGGTGTACTATCGATATGTGGGATAGTCCTCTCAGATTTTAGCACTGAAAAGTAGACTTGAAATGGTAAACGTAGAAACTAGATTTTGATGTAGGCTAGTCGACACACTTGCCTCAGAAGCTGGCTCAATCACTTTGTGAATTTAACCTCCTGATGAGAGTGCAGAGAACAAGATATCACTAGGAGAAGCATGTTCCTTGAAAATGGTTGTCTTTGTTTTTTTTGTTTTTTTGTTTTTATTTGTTGCCCTCACTCAATCACTAAGATTAATCTTGCATTCCAGGTAGCGGACTTTAACATGGCCTTGAACTTCACAGCTGACGTGGTAAATGGACCAACCCTTGGAACCAACCTTCCCCCCTTTAAATGGACGCCACAGTTCAACGTGTCCCATGTCGGTCTCCCACCAGTGTATGCCTTCGACTTTTTACGAACAACGCCTTCACTGGAGAAACCATAGTCTTAGCTCCTTACCTCAAATTACCCTCCTGGAGGAGGGGAACATAGGAAGTACAGCCGACTTTAACTATGTATCATTCCATTGATTCATTTTGGAGGTTTGACATATAACGTCTCCAGTAAAACATGGTTATTACAAACGCCAAGGAACTGTTGAGATGTGTTCTTTATATCCATAGTTTATTATTTGTGAAACTTGTCTTGAATTTTGAAAGAACTTTGAATAACAATTCAGATTCAATATGTGAGAGTGGTTATGGTCATCGTTCATATGACATTTATTGATATTGTTTGCAGGGCTCGATGTAACATTATAAAACATGCACAAGTGCACCTGTTATTGAAAAATGCAACCTAATATTTATGATTACATGCACCAAGTAAAAAAGTCAAACTTTGTGTCTAACTAACCCTTATTTGTCCACACAAAATTCATCTTTGAACAAACTCAATACCTCTAAAGTTTATCAATAATCCTGTGTAACTTGTCAAACTTTCATGGTGACATCATCAAACTGTGTGTACTTAAAAATTATGTGAACATGTTTCTATTACGTTTTATAGCAGTGCCTCATTAATTTAAGTGACACTGCCAGCTTACTGGTTCTGTTTGGTGCAATGTGGTTTTCATGTAAACATGCACCAGGTGCAAGTTCCCTAAGTCGAGCCCTGGTTTGTAATCAAATTTGCTGGCAAGATGTTGATAATTCAGAAAAAGGACTGTTCATGTTGAAGCTTCACAGACAGGGGTAAGTGTTGGGCTGACTGACACTAAGTAAGCTTCACTAATCTGTAAGTGTTCGATTAAGTGTACTGGAGTGACAATTCATTAAGTACATGTTGTATATTGTTTCATTCAGCTCTGTTGGTGACTGATACTGATTGTGTCTGACCAGTTCATTACTCACAAAAAAATAGTGATTTTTAAGTCTCTTTTTAGTGAAAATAAGAAATAATTTCTTGCAGGAATTCTATGTGATATCCTATAAAAAAGAAGTCAGGAATCGTTATGACCATTAGTATGCTGTATCTGTCTTCATTATTATTGTGTTCCACTGTGTATCATCAGGAGGTAATGATGAGGACCTGATCTACCAAGTCAAACACACACAGAGCTAATCCACTAACCAAATACTGTGATATACTGACATGTTGTCAGTTATTTTTCATCTTCCCGACCTAAGGGAGTTAACTGACTATTAAAGTCCAGTTTCCACCCTTGCCGAACTAGGCTGGAATTCTGAACTAACAAGTCTATGCATAGTCCAATCAAAATCGCCAGTATGATCAAGACATCCGGTTTGTAAACAACATGGATTTCAACACGCAGATATCAGTAGACTGCAGAATTTGAAAAGCATTTGTACTGTCAATTGGGCGTTGACAGACATTGTGCAATTTTTTTCATGTTTCTAATCAAGGTGCTCAAGTGATTTGATGCACTTTGTGGGGTAAGACCTGTATTATTACAATATAGATCTTGATCATCAATCAAATCGTTTTGACTGGGCGCCACATTTTTGTTTGAAGCAAATGCAAGTGATATAAGAGGTGGAATCTGATTTGTCAATAGGAGGGATATAGAAGGGGACATAACTAATAATCACCACTGGTGGTGCTTCCATTGTACCTAGAAATTTCAGCTTGTGGCCAGTTAACACCCTTGCCTCGGGAAGATGGTTAATTTTGTAAATACTACCATATTTTCCTGTTGATGCACATGTTGTTGTAGAAGAGGAGGTAGATATCCTACATTGTCAACAAGTCTAACAGTTCCAAAGGGAAAACAGTATTGGGATTATTTATATGCATTTGATTTAATTGGATGTTTTGAATGCAGGGAATCTTTTAATGTCGGGTCGTCTGTCCTGTGCATGGCATAGTCCTACCTGCAGCTCAAGCCCCGGGTTGTTGAAATGTGACATTGTGTTCCTGGTCTGATATTTATTGTATGACTGTCGGATGGCCAAGTTGTCTCAGGGCGTGCAGAGTTGCATCCCCTAGGTATGCCAGAATCCTATTATTGGCATCGATTGCATCTGATTCTCAGTCAGCACCGTACCTGTGCTGTGTGTCACTTCACACATAAAGCTGACATGCCATGATATAACTGAAATTCTGTTCAAAGCAGATAAGGGGCAGTTCGATCCTCGGCCACACCATACCAAAAGACTGTCAAAGATGGTACTTGTTGTTACCCTGCCTGGCGCTCAACACTAGGGGATAAAACAAGGACTGGTTGGCTCGAAGTCAGTATACTATGTCCATCCATGTTAAACTGTAGCATGGTATCTATTCTCAATAGGCTAGCACTATGAAACCAGCATAAATCTTGACTAGTACAAGCAGCCCATTCCACTAAAACGCATGCATGCACGTCCCTGTATATGTGCAATAATCTTGCCCTCTCTAATCTGTCATTCTCTTTTAGTTCTTTGGACACAGTAATTTGAACCCCTTGTAGGAATTTGGTGTTAGACTAGGTCCCCAGCACCCTACGCTGGTCGTAAGAGGTGACCTAATGGTTTTGGTGGTCAGGCAAGGGGGCTTGCTTCATTGCATATCATTGTACCTGGCAGCATGGGACGTTGCACATGATAGCAATCACTGGTTTGTCTGGTCTGAATAATGCTGAGTGTGGCGTTAACCAACAAACAAAGCTAATTTAGACCCATTTATTGACAGTCACCACAAGCATCTTTTATTCTGTTTTGTTTGTGGGTTTTATCACCGCTGATCTAACCTATATAACTGTTCCGAATAATTGTTGATTTTCTAGTTCACTATACTATTGAGCTTTTCTAGAATATAGCATACACTGGTTGAGTGTACCTTTGTTACAGTCGTAGATACAGACATATGATATGTGACTAGTCTCTGAGAATGTTATAATTATCCTTTGCTAAAAATCTCCTGTCCTGGCTAATTGTTTTATGTCAGATCTGACTTGTTTTATCTTAATTTTGATATTTAAAAATGTTCTTTAGACATGGGAGGTGTCACAAGAGTGACCTTTGCTTCGCCTGGGTCCAGCATTAAGGGGGGAAAAGGTCACTCTGGTTAGTCTGGAAGTGGCTTTGACCGATGTTTTCTAAAGAGGGAACAGTTTGGGTGATACGGGTTGCGTCTCAGAAATAGACCAGAAGCGCACTTTAGGTGAATGGTATATGTTTGAAGTGAGTGAGTGAGTATGGTTTTACGCTGCTTTTAGCAATATTCCAGCAATATCACGGCGGGGGGGCACCAGAAATGGGCTTCACGTATTGTACCCATGTTGGGAATGGAACACGGGTCTTCGGCATGATGAGCGAACACTTTAACCACTAGGCTACCTGCCCACCCAGTATATGTTTGAGGTCATATAAAATGTTTATTCTAAATGGATAGCACACAGGCAGTCTCATCAGCAAACTCTACAAGTGTAAGTTGGCTCATCTGTAGTTGGAGTTGGAATCTAGCCTCTCTGTTGTGATATCTCCACTACTATGGGGCCCGCTTGTGGCCTGGCTCATACTGCACTTGTAGTGTTGTGTTGGTCTTCTGTTCCCTCTTCAGGAATGTAATGAACTCAATCAGACCCTGATGTGCCTTAAATCATGGGCGGATCAAGAGGGAGGGGAGGGTTGGGGGTGTCCAGAGGGTTCAGAGAGGAGAGAGGATTTTGATATTTGGACCCCTCCCTTTAAAATCCAAAATAGTACGGGTATGTAGTAGTATGAATTTGGAAAGGGTTTTGTTGCTTTTATAAGCCATGATGCGAGTGATAATAAATATCACCATGCTTATTCACCAATAAATGTCAAATCAAGCCAACATAACTGGTCTGTCTGTTCCTACGTGTGGTGAGTTATGGTGAGTTATCGCTCACCTACTGAATGTTGTTCACGAGACAACCCATCCTGTTATAAGAACATATGTAATCCCTCTAAGGATACTGCAGTTCACTCTGTTGAGACTTGAGTGTGTTGTTTCAAGAGTCAAAAGGTCACTCTCATGAGGCGCCCCCCCATTAAACTTAAGGTAATGAAATATTGTAAACAAAATTAAAAAAATGTTTTCCTTTATTACATTGGTCATATATTTACAAATAATAAAACCAAATATATATTTTTCAGATTTGTTATAACTGGTGCTACCAAAGTAAATACATAGTTATGGTTCCATTCTTGGATATGAAAAGAACTTTTACTGAACTCCCTGTGTATGTGCTTATTGAAAGAATTCACTGTCTCAGTGTAGTCATGTCAACATCTGTGATATGATTTTAGTATCTTTAGGTACCAGTGTAGTTATTTGTACATGAGTTTTATTTTTTACAGCTAGATTTATCTGATCCTGAAGCTACTCAAATCAAGTCTATGCCTTTATATCTCTGAGGGTTTCACAACCTGTGTCAGATTTGTTTCACTTTGGACAAACAATATATTTGAATAAACAAACTATGGTGTTGACACCTGGTGGTGGAGTAACGGAGGAGTCCTCTCCATCCTACTGCTGTTATCATATTATTATTAAGGTATCGAATGTTGCATATTCTTCATCAGCTTTGTAGTCACTTAGTAGAAGGTAGAGCAAGCAGGTATATTCGTTCACAGGCCCTCAATTATGTACTTAGTCTTTAATTTATTGTCATTTTGCACAATTTAATGTTTTTTTCATAAATGCTTTCAAGAATTTCTGAGATTTTAAACTCATGTATTTAATCCGACTTGCTTCATTGTTTAAGGCAACTAATATGATACTATCCGTATACTGTTACAGAATTTCTTAAATAAAAGTGTTTTATTTTCAAATGCAGTTTTTATTTTATTTTATGTTTTAGATGTTATTCTGTCATTGACTGTAGTTAATCTGTCTTGGTGAATCCGTCATGGTTAATCTGTAATGGCTGGTTGGTATTGCAACACACAGACTTCCAGTCGTGGATGTTCTTTAACAAGTTTGGAGTAGTTTATTAAGTGTAGCCTGTTCTTGATATATCTAGCAGTGGCAGAGGGAGGAATGTTGCCTAAAGCTGTCTAGAATGTTCACACATACCTATTCAGTCACTATAACAACAAATACGGCAACACTGATAACAAATATGGCAACAGTGATAACAAATACGGCAACACTGATGACAAATACGGCAACACTGATAACAAACACGGCAACACTGATAACAAATACGGCAAAACTGACAACAAATACGGCACCACTGATAACAAATACGGCAACACTGATAACAAATACGGCAACAATATGATAAATACGGCAACACTGACAACAAATAAAGCAACACTATAACAACAAATACGGCAACACTAATAACAAATACGGCAACACTGACAACAAATACGGCAACACTATAACAACAAATACGGCGCCACTGATAACAAATACGGCAACACTATAACAAATACGGCAATACTGACAACAAATACGGCAACACTAATAACAAATACGGCAACACTGACAACAAATACGGCAACACTATAACAACAAATACGGCACCACTGATAACAAATACGGCAACACTATAACAAATACGGCAATACTGACAACAAATACGGCACCACTGACAACAAATACGGCAACACTATAGCAAATACGGCAATACTGACAACAAATACGGCACCACTGACAACAAATACGGCAACACATAACAAATACGGCAATACTGACAACAAATACGGCACCACTGACAACAAATACGGCAACACTATAACAAATACGGCAATACTGACAACAAATACGGCAACACTATAACAACAAATACGGCAACACATAACAAATACCGTAACAATATGACTTCAAATATGACAATACTAAAGACCATCGGCAACAATATGACTTTAATATGACAACAATATATTAAAATTTACTATACATTTAAGCATTTTGAAATTTTAGAGGTAATCGATTTGTGCAATGCGACAAACAGATGCAAATTGATCAGCGAATTATTCGCATACGTCTAAAACCTGTATAATAAATATCAAAATTATATCCCCCCCCCCCCCCCCCCCCCCCCCCGTGTCCGTGTTTGCCACACCATACCATTAGCTACCCGCCTAGACACTCTTAAAGACAATTCTTTAAGGGACTATATGTTAGTCTAGCGTCCTGGTCAGTCACACTCACTACAGTGAGGAATCAGTATATTTGGTTCAGTTGTTCTGTGAGCTTAGCGTTTTCTACATATATTCAGAATTCCTGCCTACTTTTAAGTGAGAAAATATGTCATTTATTTTAGTTTATTGCAAGTATGTATTCTTCGGTCACAGGGTATACGTATCTAAAACTTACAAGCGCACATCTCTAAGAATGATAAAACTGACTGTCAGATCAACTCAGCGAATGTATAAGCGGATTTTTTAATATGTTTCTGCATTTAGTCCTGAAGCTCTAGCAGTGGTCTCCGTGTCTTGTTATTTCAAGCGCCGTGTCTACTGTATGGAGTAAACAACCTGACAAAACCTTTCCTAACGCTTATACCTAATGGACACTTTTGCCTTGGCACATGTCATTCTGGAAACGTACATCTGCGTCCGTTAATAATATGTAGATGCTGTATCCTAAACTGCAGACTCGTTCATTCTCTCTATAATATTTGGTTTTGTTGTTGTTGTTGTTGTTGTAATATTACAGCTAATTGACGTCGGTCTGCACATAATCGTGTCTGGACCAGACAATCCAGTGATTGACATCATGAGCATCAATCTTTGCACTTAGGATACAATGACAAGCATTAACCATGTCAGTGAGCCTGACCACCCGATCCCGTTAGTCGCCTCTTACGACAAGCATAGTCGCCTTTTACAGCTAGCATGGGTTGCTGAAGACCTATTCTAACCCGGATCTTTAATTAATATCATGTAGTGTGATTTCCTCCAAAGGTTGTGCCGCCGTGATATTGCTGGAATATTGCTAAAAGCGGTGTAAAACCATACTCACTCACTCACTCACGCCAAAGGTTGTGTCTGATTATTTGATAAGTTATTGTAATATGTATAATGCAGCCATGTCTTTATGAAAAAAATAAGTTAATCTATAACATGCTGAGAGGGGTGTTTCCTTATAAGTATAAATAAGTCATACTTCATAAATATTAAGGAAAGTCTATGTACAGAACTAAGGTCAACTGTAAATTGCAATTGCACAATACTTATTATAATAGATGTCTAACTACATGTAGAAGACTTACGTATTTTAAAGTTTAGACTTAAT